AGATGACACATAAAATTAATCATGACTGGGTCTTTTATTATATTTCTCTATGAATAAAACCCAGCATTAAACCCAGGTCCCTCAGGGTTCTAGAAAATGGCTCTGCTTCCACCTTTATACTCAGAGTGTCACCCATCTGTGTCATAGGCTCATCTACTGGAGGTAGGGGACATGTGAGGCCACCTGTCTCATCTAGGTCACACTGACGGGTTCATTAGCTTCTCCAACCCCTGCCTGCAAAAAGAATTTAATTTGCTTTTTACAACACATTGACTGCAAGTTAATTAACTGGCAATTGAAAGTTATAGGTGACATTAGAATTTATTAACAACATTGTAAATAAATCTCCCTGGAATTCAATTAATTGAAAACCTCATGAAATTCTCTTTTTATAATCCATAAAGCAGGTCTGGGAGAGGGGCTGCAGAGACCTCGGGAGGCTGGAATCACAGGTGTGGATTTGCACGCCCATGGGGAAGGAGGGTCTTGGCTCCTCCTGGCTGCCCTTGGCCTTGGTCCCCCTGCTGGCCACCAGAGTCACCACCTTTCAGGGTTTAGGAAGGAGCCACTCCCCCTGCTGCCAATGTCTTGTTACTCAGGTGCCTGTGGCTCAAAACCCTACCTCTGGTCCCAAACTGGACACTGAGGATATAAATGTGACCTGCTCACAGCAGAGCAAGGACACAGAACTGAGGGCCTCTCTGGATCTAGCTGCAGCTGGGGATCCATGTGGCACCTTGGCTACCCTTGGCTGGGACCCAGGGCTGCACTGGCTGCTCACCTGGTGCATCTTTGTAAAGTGTAAAGAAAGACAGGGAGAAGGGCCAGGGAGACAGCTCAGTGGAATAAGCACTTGCCTGGAAAGCACAAGGTCCTGAGTTTGATCCCTGGTACTATAAAAAAAAAAAAAAGACAGGGAGAAGGGACACAGGTGAGCACCCTGGAGCCCAGTATGGTCTGTCCCCCTGCTCTGTCCCTCTGACCACTGTGGCTGGTGGCTGGCAATGGTGGGATAAGCAGGGACCACTGGCTGCAGGCCAAGGAGATGGGTACCCCCTGCCCTGCTTGCTGAGGGGACCCTTAGCATCTCCCACCAGTGATGAGGACAATTTCCAAATCAGGCCCAGCCTAAGCCTGCATCTTCCTGGGCTGAGCCTGCACCTGCACCTTCCTGGGCTCAGCTGGACAGTTGTGATATGGACAGAGCCCTGCCCCAGGCCAGGACTATGACTGGACTCAAATGTAGGGCCCCAGGGAAGGAGTCTGATGTTCACCAGGTCCCCAACACTCACTCTGAAGCTCACATACATGTGCACACACGTGTGCATGTCTACCCACATCAACAGAGATTGGTGTCATTTGGTATTTGGGGAAGAGTCTGGCTCCAGGTGGACACCAGCAAAGCGTGTGCTGGAAGCAGCAGAGAGAAGTGAGACTCACTCCAAGGGTATGGGAAGCAACCAAGAGCCTACCAGGACTGAGGCTGGGTGGGTACTGCACACTGGGTAGGGTAGAGTGAGGGCGGGTGCTCCTGGTCTCCAGCACCCTACGTAACCAGAGGTTCTGTGTGATTTGTTTCACGCCCTGAGGCATGGGCCTTGCAGACAGAGCTCAGAGGGGCAGGCAGGGGAGTCCACAGCACCCTGACAAGGTCCCTCCTGGTGCAGCATGGAACCAAGGACCGGATGGGCCCAGCCTATGCCTTGGCCATGGGTCAGAGGGTGCAGTGCTGGTGAGTTCCCCGGAGGCCTTCAGAGCTGTGAGTGCCCATTGTACCAGCCCCGCCCCTACCCACTTGCTCCAGATGCTGTGGGCGCCTGGCGCTTCCTGTGCTTGGAAGCCAACACACTGGCTGCCAAGAGACCAGCCTGGCTAAGAGGAAGCTCCCAGCCAGGACCTGAGGACAAGACCAAATAACAAGGCCCAGGCCAGGAACTTGGGAGCCACAGCAGGTTGGTGAGGAAGGGAGGCTTGCCTTTCAGAACTCTCCTTCTACAAGCTGGATGGAAGGAGGCATTGGGCTTGGCCCGCTGCGCAAGGTCAGCGTCCTCCTCTCCAATATTTGGGGTCGTCTATGATCCCACACTGGGCAGCAGCTTCTATGTCCTGCGAGAGTCCCTTCTACCCCTCCCAAGCCTGCTCTGTTCCTCACCCAGCTGTGTGACCTCAGGTACAGCCCCTGGAGCTCAGCTGACTCACTGCACAGAGAGAGGTGGCAGCGAAGTTGAAGGAGGTGGCAATTCGTGTCACTGTGAATGTGGCACAGCGCCTGATCCCATCCCTATTAGGATGACGAGACCATGTCTCCCTCCTTAGAGCGACTCGCTCTTGGAGACAGCAGCTGCCTGCCACCTGGGCCCTGTCTGACACACTTCAGAGGTAGCCTGTTCACCCTGCTGGTGGGAGCACCTGCCCTACGGCCCTATCAGCTCCTGGTGGCTTGGGGTTGGGGTCTGAGACCATCTGGACCTGCTGTCCCCCACGCAGGCTGTCTAGGGCCACAACACAATGCCATATCAGGGAACAGGTAGCAGCACCCACATGCCTAAGGATTTACAAGCGGCCATTGTGCTTACTGGCTGGTATGTGAAACACCCCCTTCTATAGCAGATGCCCCTCCCTCTAGGACATGGAAGCCAGATTTGACTTCAAGACTGTCACCTCTCAGAGTTCTGCACCGGGAGGTGACAGCCAGGAGAGACAGCTTTCCGCACCTGCCAGCTCTGTTTGAGCTGGCATTCTCATTCATTCGCTCAGCCTGCTTCACTCATTGAGGTCCCCCAGGGCCTGGGTCTACTTGGTGCTAGTGCTGACGCTTACAGGAAGAAGGATGCGTGCTGTCATGAACCCTGCCCTGGGAGAGGAATAAGGGCCGAGGACTATTCTGCAGAACACATCACATTCCTTGTCTGGCTGTCCCCGCCAAGGTTAGGCTTCTGGCACCGCCCACACTGGGGCTCCCTGCGGCTGAGGCAGCTGCACCAGCCGGGCCAGGCCCCTGGGGCTGGAGGAGTCACTGGCCAGCAGCGGTGTGGGCAGGGCTGGAGTCCAACCTTCATAAACAAATAAAGGCAGGAAGAAGCCCTAGGCAACCTCTGCCCATGCCTCCCTCTGCCTGTCCCCCTTTGCCCATCTCATTCCCTGGTCCTGGGCTCCTAGAGTGGCCTGGCGGCCCCGCCTCCACCACATCAGCTGTGTGGCTAGTCTGAGGTCCACCATCTCTGCTGGCTTCTGAGCTCCAGGAGGGGCTGAGCCTGGGCTTAGAGAAGGCCCGGCGCACACAGAGAGCACTCTGCTCACACAGAGGTCCAAGGTGACTCAGCAGCCACCCTGGACTCAGCCCCATCCCCTGGGCTTCCCTTGGGCCCCAGGGAGGGGAGCTAGTGGCAGGGCAGGGCTCTCCCTGCCCAGAGCCCAGGGGTCCCCCAGTTGAGCTCTCCAAGGCCTCAGATATAGCCCTGTTGGGGGCAGGCACAGCCTCTGGGGGGTCCCCTCGGCCTCTCAGCCTCCATCTTGGGCCACCTGCATCCAAGACCTCGAGGTGATCCCAGCCACACAGGAGCTGCCCCGGGCATCTGGGCCCTAGGTCAGCAGAATGCAGCCTGGCCACCCATAGAGACAGTGTGAAGGAAAAGCACCTTTATTGTCAGATACAAGAACAATGTCACAGGCCTTGAGTGTCCTGCCATGAGGACCAGAGACCTGCCTCAGGTGGGCCGCAGGGCCCAGAGGGACCCAGCCACAGCCACATGCAAGCGCCAAGGGCGCCGGGGTGGCCACTCCTGCCACACGGGGAGGCAGACGCCGGTGGTGCCAGCACCTTCTAATCTCTGAGTTTCTGCTGTTGCTGAGTCCTGGATCCTGGCCCAGTGAGAGAGTAATATGGGGACAGGTGGATGACAGAGACCTAGGGACTGAGAGGACTCGAGAGCAGTGGTCTGAGCTTCTCTGGTCACTGGGACCTTGCTGGCCTCTGCCCTGGATCCTGCCAGAACCCCAGCTCCAAGGGCTGGGGCCTGTCCCCCTGCAGGCCTGGCGCCTGGGCAGCTCCCCTCTCCAGTGTGCCATGTCCCCCAAAAGTGACAGACCCAAGAGATTTCCTATAGAGACTGGGAGGAGCAGTGCTTTGTCCCACCAATGGTAAGCCCAGCTAAATGTGCCCACCTGCCTTGTTGGGTGGAGGTGCCTGGCAGGGGTGTGGACAGGCTCAGAGAGACTGGGAGGGAGAGGTAGGCCATGCCAGTCAGGTCCAGAGGCCTTCACCTTGCCACCCCATGGTCCCCAAGTCGATGAGACAGTCAGGGATATATTCAGATCTTCCTGGCCTCAGAGAACAGCTTCAGGCCAGCCCTATCCATAGCCTGAGGAGCCCTGCCTCAGGAGGGGGGTGAAGGGAGACCCAGGGCCCCATGGGCTCCATGCCAGGTTGACCCCACCTCTGTGACCCCACCTGAACCCTCTTGTCTACTTTCTCATGAAAGGAAAGAAACTGGTGGTGCCCAGGTGACAGGGCAGTAGGACCCAAGAAGTCAGGGTTCAAATCCTTCCCGGGCACCTGTGATCCTGGGGCCTTCTGGGTTATTTATGCCTTCTGAGCACCAGTCCCCACATCAAGTAGGGATGACAAGCCTACCTCCTACGGGTTAAATGAGACAACATAGAGAAAGCTCCCTGGATGGGCCCAGAAGCTGAGGGGTCGCTAAATGACAAGGACTATGGTTATTCTCAGCTGACACCCAGCCCACTCAGGCCCTGTCTCCAGCAGGGACTGGAGTAGGTGTGGACAGGGCAAGGAAAGGGCTCTGTCAAGGGTGCCAGTCCCCTTGAAAGCCTGGCCTGGAGGTACTGTCTGCCCCCGAGGACCCCCAAGCCCAGGACAGTGTCCTTCACAATTGTCCAGGCTGAAGCTGTGCTCTAAATGGGCCTCCTCCAGGTCCAGTGGCAGCACATCCCAGGCAGTGTCCTTTGCCGGGGCTGGGCTTGCTCTGGAGATCTGGCCCTCACTTCCTGCCACTGGCCTGGCCAGTGCTCTTCTGCGCCGACTCAGGACCAAGCAGGGTGACCAGGGCAGCCAGGGCACCATCAGGTTGGGGGCCACCCCGTTTCATCTTGAGGTTGGCTCTCAGGGTGGCATCCTGGCCGGAGCCCCCCTCAGGGGTAGCCTGAGGATCTGGAAGGAGGGAAAGAGAAGAGGCTTGAAACAGCCTTGGCCCTTAGGGCACCTCTGCTCCCAGCACCTGGGTATGCAGATAAGCCCTTGTCTAGTGGGACAGAACAAGACACTACCTGGCTTGGGCTCCTCATTCACTCATCCACCCCCCCATTCACTCATCCACCCCCCCATTCATCCAGCCAGCCACCCACTCATCCAGCCACCCCCCCATTCATCCATCCACTCATCCATTCATCCAGTTGCTCACCCATTAATTCAGCCACCCACCCATTCAACCACCTGTTCACCCATTCATGCATCTATTCATTCATGCATTTAGTCATCATGTACTCATTCATTCACCCAACATTCATTCACCCAACATTCATTCATTCATTCACCCACTATCCATCCACAGCCTCACTCAGTCATTCATCCACTTATTAATAAACACAGAGGCACCAGCACTCACAGCAGAAGAGACTCCAGATATACCAGAAGGAGAAGTGGCCTCCACCCATGATGGAAGGAACAACAGTGTTCCCAGGGGAGGATGGTCTGGATCCCAGGCACAGAGATGGGAGAGGGCTGCCATGACCACTGTGGTCTGTCACTGGGCTCATGATGTTGGGGGTGCATCTTGGGGAGTGGAGTAGACACACTGATGTCTCCCATGGGGCGTCCTTAAGCAGGGGAGGGACAGGGTCCTATGGGTCTGGCAAAGCCCACCCTCTAACAGCCAAGTGCCAAGGAGCAGTGCTGAGGCAGTCACAGGGCGTGGGAAGCAAGGGTGGGCTGGGAGCTGCGTACCGTGGATGCCAATCATGTGCTCCAGGATGAGGACTCTCTCTGCCAGGATCTTCAGAGCCTCTCGCAGCTGCTGCACCCCCTCGCCCTGGTGGGAGGAAGGGTTGGGGTCAGGGCTACCTGGGCACAGTTGACACGGCTCACAGCCCCCTCCCGCCTCTTCCCACCGGTCACCATCATCACGGTGAGCAGCTGTCACAGTCACAGGCTGAGCGTCTGGGGGCTGGATGGACTTCCAGCCCTGTTTACAGATGAAAGCCCAAATGCACAGAGACCAGCTCTGGGCTGGTCCCCGTGGTCACACAGCCTGGACACGGCTGACCCGGGCTTCAAATCTAGACCTGCTGGCCCTCAGCTGGGGCTGTTTCATCCTCCCATGGCTGCCTGGTTGCTTCCTTGTGATGCCACTTACAGAAAATACCCTGAGGCTCAGGGGACCCAGCACAGGGCCCCGCTGCCTGCCTGAACATCACCCACCTGGGCGCACGAGCTGCATTGAGCAAAGAGCACGGCTGTGGCTTCCTGAAGTCTGGTAGGAGGTGGGCGACACCCACAGTTATAGCACCGCTGTCTACACAGGCAGAGGACCTTGTGTGGGGACATGTGACAGTGCTGAGACAGGGCACCCTCATATCAAGAAGATGGCTGTTGAGGCCACTTTGCAAGGAAAGTGGTGGTGAAGAGACAAGCCCACTGCTCACGACAGCCAGCGCAGCCCAGCCCAGCCCAGCCCAGGGTGCTGGCAGCAAGATGGGCAGCAGGACGGGGTGGCCATTACGCTCAGACTAATCTAGCTGCAAACTGAACTGAAGTAATCCAGGCAAACCTCCTGGGTTACAGCAGAGGTCTCCCCAGGAAGGCAAGGGTGACAGGAGGGCAGGATGTATGGTATCAGGGACAGCCCTCCTCAGGGACAGGCTGTCCATGTCCCCAGGCCAGGGAAGGAGATGAGGGTGGGGAACAGGGAGCTGCAGGCCCCCTCTGTCCAGTACCCAGCTCAGCCTCCTGTCTCTGAAGCCCAAGTTATTCCTATGAAATGAGGTCAGGAGTGTCAGGGTGACCTCCCAGGGCCTCTGGGAGAGTGGCCTGTGACCCAGCACCTGTCACCCTGCCCCCTGCTGAAGCCCAGGTCCCCATTTGCTCCAGCCCTGCTCCCTCACAGTGATTTTCCCCTAGTACCTCCGCTTCACCCCCAGGGCCAGTCACCCAGCCTGACATGGCCCTGGTGTCACTACTGCACCCACTGGGTGTCTTTACATGGGGTTGGGACCTCATATACCGGGTGGCCCAGCCCCAGCTCTGGGCTGGCTGAAGACCCAGTGCAGGCCTGTGAGTATCCCCTGGGCCCCATGGCACTCAGGGAAGTGAATGACAGGCAGAGTTAGTTACCTCCCCATTGGTGGCTTTGTCCCCTTCCTCCGAAGTCACTCCAGGCGCACTCTGGGAAGCAAATCGTGCAGTCAGCACCTGTGGAGTGAGCACCTCATGTCCCTTGCAGGAGAACCACGGGGACAGGCAGGGCCTGGGGAAGCTGCTGGGCCTTGGGGTCTCCTGCTCTGAGGTGGGGCAAGGAGGGTCTGGCACAGGCAGAGCCCTGACTGGCTTCGGGGGCAGCAGGCAGTGAGCTCGGGGCCTGGAGAGCTCCAGTCTCAGCTATTCAGGCATCATCAAGTGCTGCCTCTAGGGACTCTGCTCCTGGGCTCTAGATTGGGACCCATAACCAGGTGTGGTGGTGCACACCTGCAATCCCAGCTCTGAGGGGGGCTGAGGCAGGAGGATCACAAGTCTGAGCCCAGCATGGGGAACTCTGCAACTTAGTGAGACTCTGTCTCAAAAAAAAAAAAAAAAAAAAGGCTAGGGATGTAGCTCAGTATAAAGGCCCTGGGTTCAACCCCCAGTGTCAGAAAAAGAAAGATACTTAGATAGTGTGGAGGACATATCAGACCCAACCACCACCCAGGCCCCGGGGTATCTGTACCTGGCTAGTGACCCCTGGTCTAGCTGTAGCTTCCAGTCCTGTCACCTGCATAGCAGGTGCTCCGTCACACACATAAGGGAGGGCTGGCCTAGGGCTCAGCAAGCAGGTGACAGCCTGGCAATGCCAGGCCTACTTGCCAAGATGTGACCTAGGGTTGGATCTGAGATTTGCCCAAAAGCCATGTGTCAAAGACTGGGTCCCCAGGTCACAAAGGTGCCACACCCATGGGTGCATGGGCCATCTCGAGGAGGGTCCCAGGTACAGGAAGCGGCCCCAGGTGTGACCTGGAAGGGGCCTTTCTCTCCCCCTGCTTCCTGCCTCAGGGCCTTTGCGCTTGTCCTGCCTTGATCTGAACTGATGGCTGGAGAGGCAGAGCCAGCCTGGCTCTGGGACTACTCAGGCTGGCTCCCCACGGGCGGGCGATTCTCAGGAAGGGGCAAAGGGTCACAGCAGCTAACACAGCAAAAGTCCACAGCACCTTCCCTGGGTGTCTGGCCGGCTAGACCGGCTTCTTCCTGGGAGGCCCATGCTGGCATGGCCTGCCTTCCCTCCTCTAGGACACAGTGGTCCCCAAGCTCATTCCCCACACCACACCAGAAGCAGCCAAATCCTCACCTGGGATCCGGGGGCTCCTGGAGGTCCTGGGGGACCATGTGGTCCTGGGGGACCTATGGGCAGAGTCACCAATGGTCACCTGGTCTAGAGGAGTTCATTGTCGCCAAGAGTACCAGAGGGGACATTCTCGCTCCCCCTTCCCCAACCCCAGTGCCTGTGCCCTCGGACTGTCCAGCAGGGTGGTGTGGAGGTTTGTTGAGGGACTGCTGGGGACCGGAAGTGACACACACCCCAGGCCCACAGCTCTGCAGCCAGCCCAGAGCTGCACCTGACCTCAGTCCTGTGTCCCTGCTCCTCCCACGTCCCTGTTCCCTTCTCCACGCACTCTCCCCTCTTCTACGCCTTGGCCTGCTCCTCCTCCCTCGACTTCCTTCTCACGATGCCCATCCTAGGACCCTGGGCCTGGCAGGGAGCCGGCGCAGCTGTCCCCGGGACTCTACTTTGCTTTCGCAGACCCCGTGGAAGTGACCTGTTTGCCTCCCCAGCCAGAGCGTGAGTGTCCGGGGACAGTCACTGCAGGTATTTACATGTCCTGCGGCCTGGAGCCCTGCTTGGCACATGGTAAGTGTTCAGTGAATGTTTGTCAACTGCACACAAGATCGAGTGCATGGCCAGATGCCCTGTCAAGGCGCTGGAGGTTCTGCATGCAGCTGGGCACCCATGGCTCTGCGGATGGCCACCAGTCCCTGCCCTGGGTCCCCACCCAGTGAGGGTTCACGGGCAGATGGGGTCAGGCTGGGCCTAGAGGCAGGCCCCTTGTGCTAAGCCCAGCTCTCCCCTCCCACAAGGCTCCCTTTTCTACTGCTCAGTGCGTCCTCTGTGTGACCCCACGCTGTCCCCAGCCCTGCTCTCCCTACAGACAAAAGGACAGCCCAGGCTGCCTCTCTTGGCTGCCTCGCCCCACAGGGCACTGGCCCCTGGGAAGACAGGTTCCCCCCAGGCGGGGGTGATCCAGGCTACCAGCTCAGGGCAAGCCCAGGAAGAGATGAAAGGATCTGTCATCCACTTACCGGGGGGGCCGGGAGGACCGCGCGGCCCAGGGATACCTGCCAGCACAGTGTCCACGACGGCAGGTCCCAGCTGAGAGTCCCCATCTGTGGGAAGAGCAGGCCGAGCAGAGCTGCAGCCTGGGCTGGGGCTGCCCCCGCAGCTCAGAAGGGTAACAGGGAGGCTCCGGCAGGGGAAGCCAGGCTGGCATCCACTCCCTCAGGGGCTCGGCCGGACCCGGCTTCTCTGAGTCGGGCTGGTGGTCTCACCCAGACCCACCAGGCACCCACCCTAATGTGCCCTCCTCCAGTAAGCCCCGCCTGCCCTCTGAGCCTCCCTGTCCCTGCACCCTCCACCCCTGTGGTCATACTGCTGGGCAGCATGGAGCTCACAAGTGACTCCCATGGTCCTATGTAAGGTCCTCTTCGAAGCCCAGAAATGCCAGGGTGGGCAGGTGGCTGGGCCCGACCCCTACATGGACAGGAGGGGGGGGCAGGAAGACCCTACGGCCTGGTGGCACAATCACTTGGCAGGTGAAGATCTGGCCAGGTACCCATATTCTTCCTGGTGCTCACATCTCAAACCTCCAGGCAATGGGTGGCACTGGGCAGTGCCAGGTACGGGGCTTTATGCCCAGGACAGGCAGCCAAGGCCCTTGACTGGCATGTCAGGGCTCAGGGTGCAGGCCACTGACTCTTCCGCTGCAGGTTCACAAGCCCTGCCCACTCAGCCCCTGCCCGGGGGCATCCTTGTGCCCACTGCTGGACGGGCAGCCAGTCTGACCCCTCCCTGCCCTGACACCTGCCACCTGGCAGCCCCTGCACCCGTGGGAGGCATTTGGGATCCCACCCGCTGGGAATGAGCCCTCCTCCTGATCAAGTCTTGGCAGAGGATTCGAGGGAATATGGCCACCTCCCCTCTACAGAGAGGGAAACTGAGGCTGGGAGAGGGGGAGGGGTCCAGGCACAGGCCAGGTGGGGTTGTGCTACCTGGGGACAGAAGCCCAAGCAAAGGTGGGGCTTGGGTGACCCCAAGATACTCCTGGGTGACAGTGTCCAAGCGCCACCACTGCCCCTTCCCTGTGTGGAGACAGTCGCTCCTTAGAGCCCTCCCAGCCCCGGTCAGGTGCTCACCGGCAGGACCCCCACTTCCCAAGGTCCCTCTGGGGGGCTCATTCCCCCAAAGACAGCTGAGCCTGGCCCCCCACAACACTCACTGTCCTTGTCCGTAGGTGGCTGCAGGGAATAGAGGACACCTTGGGGGTCACTTGGTGAGAGGCCTGGGCTGCCTGCTGGGCCAGGGGGGCCAGGGGGGCCAGGACGCCCCATCTCTCCAGGAAGTCCACGGGGCCCTGGTGGCCCTAGGAGCCCTGTAGTGGGGAAAAGAAGAGTCAGGATGAATGGCGGGCCAGGGTTGTGACAGCACAGGAGGGAGAGGGCATGGGCGGGAGCTGGGAGCCCCAGCAAGGTCAGGGTGCCCTTTGCTCTGGAGATAGCGTCAGGCTGGAGTCCTTACCCGGTGGCCCCACTGGGCCTTTCTCTCCCATCTGGCCCCGGTCCCCTTTGGACCCTGGTGGCCCTGCAGGTCCTGGTGGTCCCGTCTGTCCCGGGGGTCCTGGGAAGACAGAGGGACGAGGCTGCGGACACGGTGGGCCCAGGCGCCCCTGTGCTCCAGGTCTTCTTGTTGGTTCACTGTTCCTCAGTGTCCCACCCCCGACCCTTCCCAATGCCTCCAGCCCCACCATGATGCGGTGTGTCAGTCCCTACAGTTGACAGGCCACCTTCATCCCATTTCCATCTATGACCCCAAGAACAACCTTTGTTCCCATTTTCCAGGTGGAAAAACTGAGACCCAGAAAGGTTTGGTCCTTTGCTCAAAGTCACAGAGCCAGCATAGAGTTCAGGTTGGTTCACTGCTGCTCCCTCCTTCTAGTCCTACTGCCTCCCTGCTCAGGGTCACGTTCTGGGCCTGGGGCAGGTGTCCTCATTATGGCCTCTCAGGCAAATCTGCCCAATTAGGGATAGAGGAGACGGAAATGGGGGCTCAGCTTTCTGGCCTGGGGACAGCTGCTTCTCCCTCTGGGTTTGCTGAAGAGGAGGAGGAGGAGGGGGATCTTCTCAGGCTGCGTGTGACTTAAGGATCTAAAGGAAGAGCTCTACAGGGGGGCAGCTAGTTTCAAGGAGTCCTGGGCCAACCAGGAGGACGGCCAGGACACCATTTGTGTGGTGCGCGCGCCATCTGGTGGCCATCACCGGAACTGCATATTCCTCAGCTAGAAAGGGTTTGACCAGCAGGCTCATGGCCTTCCACCTCCTCAGGCTCTGAAGAAGTGGTTGCTGTCTAGGGTAAGATCTTGAGGACAGCGGCGGGAGGGGTGGGCCAAGGGGCCAGAGTGAGATGGCCACTCTCCTCACAGCAGACCTGAGCCGCACTCCTCCTGCCATGGCCTTCAGATACCTGCTGCTCCGCCCGGGACCACAAGACTGGCTCCTGAGGCCACTGGCCTGCTCTGGGGGGATCTGCCCTTCTGCCTGCCCTGGTGACAAGTCCCTGCACACTGACAGGACAGTGGAGGTGAGGGACAGGTGTGTGTGTGCAGAGTTGAGCAAGGAGAAAAAGGGGGTGTCCCCTCCACCGGCCTGAGAGTCACCAAGGCAAGAGGCCTCCTGCTTGCTGGGGCCCGAGAGGAGCTACCTGGCTTTTCCCAGCCTCATTTCCTCTGCTGTGCCCAGAGACAGAGCCTGGATCAGGGTAGAATTTGCAGATAATTTCTGTTTCTTTCTTTCTTT